GACCTTCTGACAACAAACTCAATGCAGAAGCCAGATTCACTTAACAACCATGTTACTAACTTAACAACTGCAATGATTCACTTAACAACGGTGGCAAGAAAGGTTGTAAAATTGGACAAAACTCAATCAACCACTATCTCGCTTAGCAACAGATGTTTTGGGCTCAATAATGGTTATAAGAGGGGGATTACCTGTACTTCAGTCAGTTAAAACACCGAACAAGTCCACAGCTCATATTTCTCACCACGTGGATGCAATGTATTTTTACTTACTACATTTTTATGCTATTCATCTATAAGGTAAGATTTTTCTTCAGTCCAGTTGCCTCCTGAAAAGGCACCTTTGGCACAACCATGACCTGGAGGACTGAGAATCACTACAGACTTTTAGCCGTACAATTTGGGATGAACACCTTTTGAATGGTGTCAAGAGTAGGAATAGATTTCCAGAGGGGAAAAAACGCAGACTACAGGAACCATTTGCAATATACAGGTGACCCTGAGGACACAGATAATCCTCCAAGTGGCCTCAACGACCCTCTAAAAGGATGCAAATGACCAGCTGTCTGGAAGGAATATCAATCCTTCCATTCCCTACTAATCCAGTCAGAGCTGAAGAAGCTTCTTGGATGAGAAGGGAAACATCTTCAAAAGAAAAAAACAAGAAAGTCCAGTTGCCTCCTGAAAAAAAAAGCACCTTTGGGACATCTTTTCCTGTAAGGTGACTCTGAACAGCAATGGAAGTATGTCTTTTGCAACCTAAGGACCAAAAATTCTCTGTAGGTAAACTCTGTCTCACTACTTCTCCCACGAGCAGAAAACGTTCAGAAAACCTTTGGATGAATCATATGGAATAGCTGCCATGGGCAAAGTGGTTGCCATGGTTTTCCAAACAATCTTGGCTTTAGAGACAAAATATTCACGCCCACGAACTGTGCCCATACCTCAAACCTGACATCTGTCCAACTGCAATCACGGATGTATACAACTATGAAATAATTTCTGCCAAAGAGAGCAAGTAGCATCTTGGCACCCTAAGTCATTTGTCTATTTCTTGGCAAATCGTGTCCCAGTTCTGTGAAAGGAGTTCTTTACTTACGACCACAATGGAGCCCCAAGTTTCTGTTGTTAAGGGAGACATTCGTTAAGTGAGTTTTGCCTCCGTTTTATGACCTCTCTTGCCAAAATTTGTAAGTGAATCATTGCACTCGTTGTCTTGAGAAACTTGACCCCACAACCTACAGTTGATAAGTTAGTAACCCGCAAAACTGGCTTCCCCCATTGATTTTGCTTGTCAATAGGTCACAAAAGAGGATCGTGTGACCTTGGGACACAGCAACGGGCTTAAGTGTGAACCAGTCGCCAAGCACCTGAATTTTGATCAGGTGATCGTGGAAAGGCTACAAAGGTTGTAACTGTGAAAGTCACTCTTTCCAGTGCTGTTGTAACTTTGAATGGTCACTAAACAAACCGTTAAGTCAAGGACTACCAGTAACCTTTCAAAAGAAGGATCAGCCACCTGGCAAAGTCTACACTGTAGAAACTGCAAGCATAGAGGTAGTCCTCAACTTACAACCACGATTGAGACCAGATTGTTAAATGGTTGTTAAATGAATTGCACCTTTTTTTTTTTTTTTTTGCTACAGCCGTTAAGTGTATCACTGCAGTCTTTAAGTGAATTGTTAAGCAAATCCAGCGTCTCTCGTTGACTTTGCTGGGTGGAAATGGTCAATCGCAAATTGTCAGGTGTAAGTCGCCAAGAACAGCCGTTGAGTTCAAAGCCTTAAATGTTTATTACGTGCTACCTTTACCAAAAAAAAAATCTGATCTACTAATAGTCAGGTCAAAAAGGTATTAGATAAAGAGTCAATGGGATTCATAGAGGGCTGGACTTGGGCCTCCCTGCGGCTATGTAAGGATTCCAAACTGATGACGCATTTCACCCCGCCTTCAATCTCTGCTTGGTCATCTCCTTCAAAATGACACTCACATGATCCTTGGGGCACTGCAATCATCATAAATACAGGTAGTCCTCGATGTACAGCAGTTCATTTAGTGACCGAAGTTACCACGGCACCAGAAAAAGTGACTTATAACCATTTTTCACACTTATGACCATTATGGCACCCCCACTGCCATGGGATTTACATTCGGATGCTTATCAATTAACTCACATTTGTAGTGTCCTGGGATCAGTGACTTTTGCAACCTTCTGACACGCGAAGGCAATAGGGAAGCTAGATTCACTTAACAACCATGTTACTAAGTGCAGTCACTTAACAAACGTGGTGAAAAAAGTCACAAAATGGGGCAAAGCTCACTTAACAAATTTAACGACATACATTTTGGGCTCAATTGTAGTCATAAGTTAAGAACTACCTGTACATGATGGCTGCTAACATCTAAAACTTGATAAAGTGACCATAAGGATGCTGGGACAGTTGTATGGGCTAGCACTGGTTATAAGTCACATTTTTCAGTGCCACTGAAAACTTCAAATGGCCACTAAATGAATGGTCATAAGCGGAGGACCTGTAGTTTGTGTTCTTTCATCTCTAGGATGAGATGGCTGGAATGCCATGTCTTGCTTTTTAGTCCCAATTTTCTAAAAGGTGACTTGTCTTTCCTCCCTTTTTTTCCCCTTAAAAAAAGAAACGGGAGAAGCTTCTTGGATAAGAAGCAAAACATTAAGAAAAATGAAAAAAAAAAAGTTTGCCTTTTGGAAAAAACACCTTTGGGACAAAATTTGGATGATTGAGAATCTCCACAGACCTCCTGCCTTTTATTTATTTTTTCTCCTTCTTCTTGCCTTCTGAGTGACTGATAGGGCAATGCTGTCACTAAAGTCAGCCCTACTCAAGATTTACAACCTTCTTTTTTTTCCATACGGAGAAAGAGACAGTCTGAAGGAGGCTTTGATGAGTAAATCAGCTTTTCACCAGCTCAACAACTTTCAACAACTGCTGGGTAAAAACATAGTAGAATTCTAATTTAATCAGGAAGTGCTGATATAAGAGAGACGCTAAAGCGCCTGTAGGCCAGTCAAGGAATAATGGATGGAAACTGAACAAGGAGAGATTCAACCTGGAAATAACTTTCTGACAGTGAGAACAATCAACCGACGGAACAGAAGTTGCCCCTCAGAAGTTGTGGGAGCGCCATTACTTGAGACCTTCAAGAAGAGATTGGACTGCCATTTGTCAGAAATGGTGTAGGGTCTGCTGCTTGGTGGGGGTGGGGGGTTGGACTAGATGACCTACAAGGTCCCTTCCAACTCTGATTATCTGTTATCTGTTAACACAAAGCAGAATCTTTCTAATCGAGGGACTGTGCTGGCCCTATCCTCCTTTGCTTTGTATTAAAGAAGCTTTGAGTGACTTAGGACCATGTTTCACGCTTATAACCATTGCATCATCTCCACAGTCATATGATCAAACTTCAGACATCTAGGGGAACCAGATTCACTTAACAACCGTGTTACTAATTTAAAAACTGCAGTGATTCACTAACAACTGTGGCAAGAAAGGTGGTAAAATGGGGCAAAACTCACTTAACAAATGTCTCACTTAGCAACAGAAATTTTGGGCTCCATTGTGGTCGTAAGTCGAGGACTACCTGTTTTCCAAGCTTGCTCAACTAACCATGGTGCACTCCTTCTGATGAACCACAGATTATTGATTTATTGCCGGGTTTATAGGTCATTCATACTGGGAATAATTCTTAAGCAGTATCCACCCAAATCCCCATAAATTGAAATACAGCAACAAAATCGCAATTCAATATTATTACTCCACCCATATACAGCAGCGTTGGGTTTAAAGAAAGCTATGCCAACGAGATTATGTCCTTGACAGTTAAAAGCATATATATACATAAGGAAGCAGGAAATTTCTTAACTCTTTGAAGGAACAAACCGGTTTATTCTCAGTAAGCTGCCACAGGGAAGTAGGCTTCCAATAACAATGATTTAATTCCTGTTGTAGCACAGCACAGTATGTTCTTTGACACCACGGGATGTTCACCAAACAAAAGATTGCTCAGCTGGCAAAATTAAAATGATATGGTTCTCTTTATTTAAAATTAAATGATAAGGACATAAACTGCTAAACAAACAGGCCCAATGTTCCATCAGGAGATGGGATGGATTCCATCAAACCAGCTCCTCAGAAACAGGAAGAGTCTTAGAAATAGAGTTGGAAAAACTAAGAAAGTCCAGTGGCCTCTTAGAATAGAACAACAGAGTTGGCAGGGACCTTGGAGGTCTTCTAGTCCAACCCTCTGCTTAGGCAGGAAACCCTACACCACCTTCAGACAAATGGTTATCCAGTCTCTTCTTAAAAGCTTCCAGTATTGGAGCATTTACAACTTCTAGAGGCAAGTTGTATCACTGATTAATTGCTTTCACTGTCAGGAAATTTCTCCTTAGTTCTAGGTTGCTTCTCTCCTTGATTAGTTTCCACCCATTGCTTCTTGTCCTGCCTTCAGGTGCTTTGGAGAATAGCTTGACTCCCTCTTCTTTGGGGCAGCCCCTGAGATACTGGAACACTGCTATCATGTCACCCCTAGTCCTTCTTTTCATCAGACTAGACATACCCAATTCCTGCAACCATTCTTTGTATGTTTTAGCCTCCAGCTCCCTAATCATCTTCTCTATACTCTTTCTAGAATCTCAACATCTTTTTTACATCATGGCGACCAAAACTGGATGCAGCATTCCAAGTGTGGCCTTACCAAGGCATTATAAAGTGGTATTAACACTTAAGGTGATCTTGATTCTATCCCTCTGTTTAAGCAGCCTAAAAGAACTGCCTTCTTCTGCAATTTTGTCAAACCAAACTATAAAGCAGGGGTCCCCAAAGTTGGCAACTTTAAGACTTGTGGACTTCCAACTCCCAGAATTCTCCAGCCAGCTCTGAAAGTTGGAAGTCCACAAGCCTTAAAGTTGCCAACTTTGGAGACTTCCACTATAGAGACCGAGTCGAAGGTGACGAAAGGTTTTACCTGATTGGGCTGAAATCTGGGCAGGTACACCTTCCACATCTGAGCTTCCCTAGAGATTGCCATCTCTAGGAGGACGGACAACCTCTCGCTCTGCAAGGGTCCTGAAAACTTCATGGTACCCCTTGGGTCTGCCTGCCACCCAACTGGACACAGCTACCTGCAAATGAAATAGAGAACAAAATAGACAATGAGCGATGTGAAAAGAAGCACACACTGCACATTTTCCATTATTATTATTATTATTAGTAGTAGTAGTAGTAGTAGTAGTAGTAGTAGTAGTAGTAGTAGTTAATCTTTAGTGAGATTCACAGCCTTTGGGGCTGGTTGGTAACTCAACAACTTAAGTCCTAACCAAGGACCTAGGAACTGTTAAGATGGCGTCGAAGGATATAAGCTGTTCCAAGTAGGGTGTTTTTTTGTAGAATCAGAGTATTCAAGTCTGATAAATTCAGGATTTCCAAATAGCAAGGTAGCCCCCCTTTAGGTATTGCTCCAAGGCAATATAATAATATGATATATCATCATCATCATCATCATCTGGAGCTTCACTTCCAATCGGAAACATCTTGTTTTGCCTCCAGAAAAAAACACTACGGGATCCCTGCTCCCATAGTTAGTTTTTCTGATTTGCTCCCTCAATTGCTTATCCAAGGTTCTTCAATGAGATTGGAAATGGCTGGTAAGCTTCTCAAAAAAGGTCAAATCCAAGTATAAAACCCAGGCACAGATTACAGGAAGTCCTTGACTTGCAACAGTCCGTTGAGTGACTGTTCAAAAGCTACAACAGCCCTGAAAAATGTGACTTATCACCATTTTTCACACGACCTTCGCAGCATCCCACGAGATCGAAGTTCAGACGCTTGGCAACTGACTCTTTCTTATTGATGACGGTTACATTGTCCCGGTGTCCTGTGATCACCTTTTGCGACCTTTTGACAGGAAAAATCAACGAGAAACCTAGATTCACTTAATAACCTTGTTATCAACCTAACAACCGTAGTGATTCATGTAACAACTGTGGCAAGAAAGATCATATAATGAGGCAAAACTCACTTAGCTCGCTTAATTTGGGTTTCAATGGCGGTCTGTAAGTTGAGGCCTACCTGTAACATCTGTTTTAACTGAGGTGTATGTTCCTCCTGGAAAGTTCTTCAGTAGCCAACCTGCACAACTTTTATTGCCCTGAAAAGATTTCAGATTCTACAGGTAGTCCTTGACTTACAACAGTTTGCTTAGTGACCATTCAAAGTTACAACGGCCCTGGAAAAAAAAAGTGACTCATGACCATTTTTCAAGCTTATGACTATTGAAGCATCCTCATGGTCACGTGATGTACATTCAGAGGCTCAGCAACTGACCCACACTTATGACGGCTGCCAAGTGTCCCGGGAGTCACCTGATCCCCTTTTGCGACCTTCTGACAAGCAAAGTCATTGGGGGGAAGAACTCACTTAACAAACTTCTCGCTTAGCGACCTAAATTTTGACTAAGGGCATATATATAATGCCCACTGACGTCCACGCCAAGGATCTTCCCTTGAAAAACTGCCAGCGCCCTGAAGAGAATTACCAATCACTGTCGTAAGCTACATTTCCTGGATAGAGGGTCAGGGTGCTCCACACATTCAGTCTTTCGTCATTTATGGCTTTGCTGTAATCTCAAGGCGAGCAGATGGCATCAACTATGCATCAGCAGGAAAGAAGCGCGGCAGGAAGCTTTCACAAGGATTCCAGCTCTAGGCCTGGCATGCTCCCTTTTCTTGAACGTTGAGCAACTCAAGTCCTAGGTTGCACTAACAGAAGGATAGAATCAAGATCACATGAAGCGTTAGAGCCGCTTTAATGATGCCTTGGTTAAGATCACACGCTTGGAATACTGCATCCAGTTTGGGTCGCCACGATATTAAAAAAATGATTTTGAGACTCTAGAAACAGGGGTATCAATCAGGGTTGTGTTTGACCTTGGGGGCAGATGGGCGGGGGGGGCATGGCCAGGGTGGCAGAGGTGATATTCAGCTGGTTCTGACCAGTTCTGGAGAACCAGTAGCGGAAATTTTGAGTAGTTTGGAGAACCAGCAAAGACCACCTCTGACTGGCCTCGCCAACCCCATCTATTCTCTGCCTCCCGAGTCCCAGCTGATCGGCTGGGTCTTCTTTGGTTGCCCTGCACGGGAGAACGGAGCTAGTAGGGTGGGGAGGGAATAGGGATTTTGCGGTAACCTTCCCCTGCCACGCCCACCCAGCCACGCCCACAGAACCTGCAGTAAAAAAAATTGAATCCCACCACTGCAGGGCGGGCGTGGCCAACTCGTGTCAGGGGCACCTGTGGTGGCCCAAATGCTCTGCCAGCAAAAACAGGCTCCCGAGCTCAGTTTTCGGCTGCGGCGGCTTCCTGCAACCCTCCTGCCAGTGAAAACAGAGCTCAGGAGGGCCGTGCGTGGCCCTTCCGAGCTCCATTCTTGCTTGCAGAGGCACTGTCGGCCAGTCCTTCACTGTTTCCAGGTGGCCCTGCGGGCCAGATCGAAGCCGGAAGGCCGCATCCAGCCCACAGGCCTTGAGTTTGACACCCCTGCTCTAGAAAGATGTAGAGAAGAGCAACGGAGATGATTAGGGGACTGGAGGCTAACATTTATGAAGAACAGTCACTAAAATTGGGAACGTCTAGATTAATGAAAAGAAGGACTAGGGATGACATGATAGCAGCGTTCCAATATCTCAGGGGCTGCCCCAAAGAAGAGGGAGTCAAGCTATTCTCCAAAGCACCTGAGGGCAGGACAAGAAGCAATGAGTGGAAACTAATCAAGGAGAGAAGCAACTTAGAACTAAGGAGGAATTTCCTGACAGAAAAATCAACCAATGGAACAACTTGCCTTCAGAAGTTACAGGTTATTATACAGTTAAGTTTTTAAGAAGATATTGGATAATCATTTGTCTGAAATTGTATAGGACTTCCTGCATGAGCAGGGGTTGGACTAGAAGACCTCCAAGATCCCTTCAAACTCTGTTAACTCTTGAAGGTAATAGCAGAACAGTTTGAAGCACAATAGAAAATGAAGCAAGAATAAAAATAATAAAAGTTCATACACTGATTCTGTATTTTTTGTGTGTGTCTCTGGACTTTTCATGTTTCCTTCAGGGCACCAGATGTGAGAGGATGGAGAATGATCAGCAATTTTATTTATTCTACCTATCATGTATTTAAATATCATCCAGCAAATACTTCTCTTACATTTTCCCAAATATTTCAAACATCTATGCATCCATCTTCTATCACTGCACATGAAGATGCTAGAAGCAGAATGTATAAACGTGCATCATCTTGACATTTTAACTCAGTTGTTTATATTTCAGTTGTTCTCATCATGTGCTAAATAATAAATAAGCTGTTTATGAAGATAAAGGAATAGTAAATAAGCTATTTGAGGCTACCTGGAGAGCCAACGTAGGTCTCTCTTCCCAATCACAATCCCTACAGATCCTCCTTATTATTCGAACCAGATGAATTTGCCTCCACAAAGACTCCCCGACTTGCAATTATTCATTTAGTGACTGAAGTTACAACAGCGCTAAAAAAGCGACATGACCATTTTTCACACTTACAACCTTCACAGCATCTCCATGGTTACGTGATCAAAATTCAAACAGTGTCTGAATTGGCAGCACGATCCCCTTTTGCGACGTTCTGACAAGCCAAATAAATGGGGAAGCCAGATTCACTTTTAGCAACCATGTTAGAAACTTAACAATGGCAGTGATTCACTTAACGACATGGCAAGAAAGGTAGTGAAAGGGGGCAAACATTCACTGAACAACTGCCTGGCTTAGCAACAGACATTTGGGGCTCAAATTGTGGTCATAAGTCGAGGACGTATCTGTATTCCTCTCTAACCAGCAACCCTTGCTGAAAAAAACCCTTTCAGGCCGCCGTAGGACCAAAGCCATGGGAAAGAACCTGAAGCTTGGCATTTCTGCTGCTAAATGATGAAAATTGAAACCCGTCATCCTGGAATCTGGCCATGTTCTTGTTGGTCAAGCTGTTGACGAAGTCTGACCCTGACCGATTTAAATCTAGACAGCTTCACTTGCCTGCTTGTTTGCAGACAACCATTCTTTCACCAAAGTTGGCAATGAAAACGAAAGTTGTTACAAAGCTTTTTTTTTTTTAAAAAAAAAAAAAACCAACACCACCAACTTGTAACGAAATTTTCTGAAGAACAGCCAATTCCATATTTCCAGAGCTAGTTAAAAATTGGAGAGTCCAGAAGGTGAAGAATTTGATGAAAAGAGTATTGTGTAAGTATCTCAAACTTTTATCTTTGGGGCAAGCAAAGAAAATCTTATTTACCTGCAAGCCTGGCTATCCTCTATTTTTGGAGAATGAGAGTTAATCCTCGGTTTACGACTTTTTGTCAGTTAAAACAGCACTGAAAAAGGTGTGACTTATAACCATTTTTCACACTTATGAATGTTGTAGCATCCTCGTGGTCACAAGATCAAAATTCAGACACTTGACAGCTGACTCTATTTGACAGTTGCAGTGTCCTGGGGTCATGTGATCCCCTTTTGCGACCTTTTGACAGGAAAAGTCAATGAGGAAGCCAGATTCACTTAGGAACCGTGTTACTAATCTAATATCTGCAGTGATTCACTTAACAACTGTGGCAAGAAAGGTCTTAAAATGGCGTGAAAAGTCACTTAACAACCATTTTGCTTAGCAACAGAAATTCTGGACTCAGTTGTGGTTGTTAAGTCAAGGACTACCTATGAGAAGATCCACGGTCAATTTTCACCAATTTTCACATGTCCTGTCCCCGTGACTTGAGCATCTGGTTGGAGAAGATTGTTCTGAACTCTTTGCAAAGAGCTGGAGGTTTGGGAACATTATATTTACATCTAATCTCCAAGGAAGAGCAGCTGACTTCCAACTAAGGGTCAGTAATATAGGATAGTAAGACCATATCTGGAATACTGCATCCAGTTTTGGTCATCAGATTACAAAACAGATCTTGAGGCTTTGGGGAAAAGTCCAGAGAAGGGCAACTAAGAAGATTAAAGCCCCGGAGACTAAAACATATGAAGAACGGTTGCAGGAATTGGGTATAGCTAGTCTAGAGAAAAGAAGATGACACGATAGCAGTATTCCACTGTTTCAGAGGCTCCCATAAAAGAGGAGGGAGTCAATTTATTTTCTAAAGCAGGGCAGGAACAAGAAAAGATGGATGGAAACTAATCAAAGAGAGAAGCAACCTGGAATTCAGGAGAAACTTCTTGATGGTGAGAACAATTAACCAGTGGAACAGCTTGTCTCCAGAAGTTGTGGGAGCTCCATCAAAGGAGAGGCTTTTAAGAAGAGACTGGACAGCTACTTGTTTAGAATAAGCAAGGGGTTGGACTAGAAAACCTCCAAGATCCCCTTCCAGCTCTATTCTGTTTCTGAATATCATTTGTTGATAGTCCACTTACCTTGACTTTCTGTAAACTGTTGTGGTCCATGTTACAAACCACTAAGTGTTAAGTTTACTGAGGTGCCCATTCTTTCCTTCCTGCCATCCTGATGTGGGTCCCTTCTACTTATTCCAGTCAGAAGTAATCAGAAGTTGAGTGAGGAAAGAGGAAGTAACTTTGGGTGATGCAAGCAGAGACAGGAATGAGAAACTAAGTGATTCACAGGGGAAAAAAAACCCAGGAGAGTCACAAAGTTCATCCACTGATAAGCTTATCTCAACATGGAGGCCTCCAAATGGAGACTTTAATACCCATAATCCTTAACCAAGGATGCAGACTTCCCCCCCCCCCCAAGCTTTAATTTTTAAACTTGAAACATGTATGGATAGTCCTTGACTTTATAACCACAATTGAGCCCAAATCTTCTGTTGCTAAGTGAGACAGATGTTGAGTGAGTTTTGCTCCGTTTTTAAGACTTTCCTTGCCACCGTTGTCAAATGAATTGCTGCAGTTAAGTTAGTAGCACAGTTGTTAAGTGAAATCTGGCTTCCCTATCGACTTTGCTTGTCAGGTCACAAAAATGGGATCACGTAACCCCTGGGACACTACAACCATCATAAATATGAGTCAGCTGCCAAGCATCTGAATTTTGATCACGTGAGTATGGGGATGCTGGAAGTGTGAAAAACAATCCTAAGCTACTTTTTTCAGTGCCACTGTAATTTTGAACGGTCCCTAAGTGAATGTTTATAAGTCGAGGACTACCTACGGTATACACATTTTCATTTATATTAGAATTGTTTTCACTGGCAAGCCTGTTTGGCTGCTTTTTAGGAACAGAAAAGCAGCACGTAAATCCAACAGTATTTTTTTTTTAAATAGAAAAGAACTGGGGATTATCTTTTAATGCCTAAAAAGGTTTGGGCCTAGATTACTGGAGAGATTACCTTTTCTTCCATATAAAACCAAGCTT